TAATATCAAATTTTAATTTAGCGACTTTAATAATATATAGCTAAACTTTTTTTCTTATGTAGTAGACTCAATTTAAATCAATAGGTATATTCATTTTGTCCAGGTTTTATTTTTATTTTGGAACACAAATAAATATGGCCTGCGACAAAATAATTTAGTAATTATAGAATATATTTGTGTTATTGTAATATTTTATTTCTGAATATGTAATAAAATTGTAAAGAAATAAAAACATTAAAATTTAAATACTAATATTCGTTTCTGAATTTTGAAAATGCGACTTAAGATTCAAGTTTAAGGTTACATTTTTTTTTTTTTGCTTTATGTTGACACTTGATAGCTGATTGCGTTTGTGCTTATATACACCGAAAATCCTAACCACGGATCACAAAAGCGCAACTTACGTTATAAACTATTATGGTATGCCCATATTTTTCGTTTTGTCCATAATTACTTATCACTGTTTTCTGAGTTAAGCAATATCATCCGCTAACAGTTGTCTACGTAATGTGTATTATTTTGTTTCTTGAAAAAAATCGAAAACATAATATTATGTAAGTAGATCACCCTCGTCACCGTTTCACATAAGATTTAAACCCACACACATGTTTGGTATAATATATATCCCTAAACGTAATTAATAGCCGTAATTAATAATGTACAAAGTGCTTAAGACCAAAACAAACACGGTATTATTATTTAAATCCTAGATATTTTTCTACGTATCGCTATGGGTCTACTGAAAAAAAAAAAAAAAATACTCTAGCACGGCCATAAGCGGTAAATTATAAATCTTGCACCGTAAATCTGTCCACGAAGTCTCATCAAAATTCAAGAGTTACAAAACGGGGCGTCTTTTAATGGCCGCCATTACTATTGTACGGGGGATACGACGTATTAATAAATATACACTCTGGCGTGTACACTCTTTGGTTTTAACAGTATTCAATGTAAACATATATACTCGTTTTATGCCCTATAAAAGTCCTCAGCCGAATCCCGGAGGTGTTTTTGGAAATTAAACTCTCCGGAGACTCTAAACGGCTGTTTTGTAATGCAAACACACACTAAATATATACTTTTATATTGTGTATGTATTTATTTCTGTTGTATCCGCTCTAAACCTGTCCGGACACTCGACCGGGGCAATACAAGACGTTAAAAAATTTAGATTTACTCGTTTGAATAAAAAACAATAAAACTACAAATCGTTTTTAGTTCTCGGCGAATACAATATCCACCCGACTTCAATGTTTTATTATATTTCGTATATCATCTTACATTTTATATCATTATACGGGTGTCTGTCTTATTTAATAACGTATATTTAATACATTAAGTCGATATGAAACACGTATGATAACCTGAAAATGTAAGTGGATACTTAACAAAATAAAACAATATAACAAATATAATACATGTTATTTTTTAATTAGGTATATTTTAATTACAAAATGTATACCATTGTAAAAAATATTAAAAAACGATTGATAATTTGGGAGCACTCAGTACATTCCACGCATAGATATGATATATGAATAAGACAATTAATTAATAGTGGTTTGTCCTGTAACCTTTACTTTAAAGTGTTTTCTCCAAACCTGAGATTTTATATTATTATTATAATATAAATTAAGGATACTCTTGTGTAGAAAATGAACAATCGACAAACTCTACCTCACCGGTAATCAAAAAATTTAATTTATGGTTTGAAACTTTTGGTTAGGTTATTTATTTATCATAAGGTTACGTTAGGAGGTTAGGTACAGTACAGAAAATTGCAAATAACGTACAGAATAGATATGTAAATATAAATTATGATTATAGTAGTGAATAGTAAAAATAACTTAGTAATGAAATAATAATCTTGTAGGATAATTAAGTTAAAAATCGATGTTGTAAAGATTCAATCTTATTAATATCACAAGCGAATTTTAGTTTTTTGGAGCGCCATTTACATATTTATTTAGATTATTACATTAAATTTAGATCAGTTATCAACTCTTTAGCAATTTTCAGTGTATCGTGGTTAACCTCCTCATTAGGCGATTCTACTTTACTATTATATTAGCACTTTTACTTTTCATAAGCCTATGTTTAGCTTCTAAAATCAACCCGTCTGATGAAATCTGTATTGTAGTGTAACTGATTTGTTAGTTAGATTCTAAAATTGAAACTTTATCATGAACACTATTTACTTCAGATTTAAGGTTGTCATTTAAATTTTTTAAGCTATTTATTGAGATCAACATACCCTAGAAAGTATTATTAAGAACCAAGCATTTTACTCGTTTCTGGAAAGATTGATATCATCCATAGATAACAATTTTTCATCACATCTGTGACAGTGAACTCACTGTTGGAACGAGAGGACGAACAGGAAGTTGTAGTCCTTTTCATAGGAGTGTCAACTTTGGTATTATTTGGCATTTTTACGATTTTTCACAAGTCTGATAGCGATCTGATTGTCTCCATACATCGTTGGTTTCATTTCTGGCTGGTTGAGTAATTCACCTAAAAGTAATTTTAACCAAGTTAATTCTTGTTTACTGCATACTTAAAGCTATGTACTCTGATTCGGTTGTGCTAAGGCTAACACACTGTTGACGTGATATTTTAGCCTACTGACCTCTAGACATTACATTCGACCAATATCTAGACATATAATATAGGTACTTACTTATAGGTACTACGTATCTGTACTTAGCTTGCAAAATATTTGTCAAAAACTAGGTATGAATTCTGATCACTGGATACAGCCTATAGGTACCATGAATTACAACGACATCACTTTAAGACGTATTGCGATGGTACTCGAGCGAATGATGATTAATTTTATGTTATGCCAATCAATTAACGTCAATCGATTAGTCGATCTACATCGCAAGCACGAAAGAACAGTGCATTACGAGCTTCAGGCACGACAATTCAATGTACCACGATTCTGGGGACGCTTTTCCCAATTGGAACTAGATTTGGGACTGGGTCTGGGGCCCTTGAGTAAGAGGAGGACATAATCAATACAATGTAATGTACAAAATATGTAGATGCAAAAAAAAAAGCCGAGATGGTGTATGACTATGAAGGCGTATGCTAAAGCTTTACAATATACAGCCTAGAGAACTATTTTTTTTTAATCTTATTTGTAATTATTTTACTCAGCCCAGGCAAACTAAATCTCGGGCAACGCCGGGCCGGGCACCTTGTATAAAAAAAAATACAAACAAATTATTTTAACACAATTTATTAGAATTATACAATAAATATATGTTTATATGATTATGCAGGTTATAAGAAAAAATAATTGTGTATAAAGTACAGGTTACAAAGTTAATGACAAAGTTTTCTTTCTTATACTGCAGAATTATTTGGTGCACACTGTGTCTCGTTGTGTCCAAGTTGATGACACCTTCTACACGCATGCTGTCTCCTCTGATAATTAAAAAACATTTTTTTTTTAACAACTTTCCAAGGTGTAATCAACTATTAAAACTCATGTGGTAACATAAAAATATTTTTTAAATTTGGCTTAAAAATTGTTGAATATCAATAAATATGACGGACAGAAGGAGAAATATTTTACAACTTTACCGCACTTCACGAATTAAAAAAGATAATTAAATATAGATGTTACCATTTAAGTTTTAAAAGTTGATGGAGCTCTGAAAGAAAATCAGAAAGATACATATTTGAATACGACCTCATATTGTAAAATAACGTAAACTAAAGTATGTGTCCAAATGAAAAACTACAAAACTTCAAATATTTTAATAGAAAATGATTACATTGTCTTATCCCTAACGAATCTATCAGTATAGTCGAATAATAGTTTATGCATTCTAGGGTCGTATTCCCATAGTATCTCATGAAACAAAAATTTTTTATTTTTGGTACTTACCTCTCTTTCCACTATCCTTTTCATATATTCTTGCTGAAAAAACAAAATAAAGAAAAACTTGATATAATTGTAAATTTTAGATTTACCTATGGTCTAATTTTCAGACTTTAAGCCCCAAAATCTTCACTTAAAAATACAAAATAAAGATAAAGTCCCCCCCTTCCCTTTTAAGGAAAATAGTTTATGAACATTTTTTGGTTTATAAATTAAGAAGAAAAATCTTTGCCCGTAGTCAATTTCTAGTATATGTATATTGTGTATACAGAATATTCTAGCATAAAAAGTAAGTATTAGGTGATTCGTCATCTGGGGGACCTCCAAATAAGCCCCCTTTTTTCACTTTTTCGATAATTAAAAAATTTCAAATTTCGACAGTAAAGTAAAAAAATAATGACTGAAAAAAAAATGTATTCCCTGTTATTCAGTGCAAAAAGCTCACCTTAAAAGAGGAGTCACGTCATTTTCAGTTTTTTATGGCCCCCAACTCAAAAAATGATGAGAGAAAAATGATTAAAGACTAGCAATAAGAAGTAAATGATAAGTGATAATGTATGAATGCTAAGATATAATTGATAAGACATAAATGATAAGAGATAAATGATTAAAAATAATTGATAGAAGATTAATGATAAGAAATTAAAAGTAAATAATTAGAAACAAGAGATAATGAATAAATTATAGGATATTAGTGATAAGAGATAAATGATTAGAGATTAGAAGAAAAAATAAATAATAATATAAGTGATAAGAGAATATTTGGGGGCCGAAAAAGACTGAAAATGATATAACCCCTCTTTTAAGGTAAGCTTTTTGCACTAAATAACAGGGAATAATTTAAAAAATTTTACTTATCGAAAAGGGCTTATTTGGGGGTCCCCAGATGACGAATCACCTATCACATACCGTACATGCTGGAACACCCTGTATGTGATGACTTACCGGACTTTCCTCTGACTCCTTCTTGCGGCGCCTTTGGTGCTGCCTTCGCCGATCGGGGTAATGCTTTCTCGCCGTTGAGGAGGCAGGTTCAGACGCTGTCCCGGAATACGTGGCCGTAGTCTTAGCCGGTTGAGGGGCGGTCCCAGAATCCGTTGCCGTAGTCTTAGCCGGTTGAGAAGTCCCGGAACACGTGGCCGTACTCTTAGATGGTTGAGGGGCGGTCCTAGAATCCGTTGCCGTAGTCTTATCCGGTTGAGAAGTCCCGGAACACGTGGCCGTACTCTTAGCCGGTTGAGGGGCGGTCCCAGAATCAGTTGCCGTAGTCTTATCCGGTTGAGAAGTCCCGGAACACGTGGCCGTACTCTTAGCCGGTTGAGGGGCGGTCCTAGAATCCGTTGCCGTAGTCTTATCCGGTTGAGAAGTCCCGGAACACGTGGCCGTACTCTTAGATGGTTGAGGGGCGGTCCTAGAATCCGTTGCCGTAGTCTTATCCGGTTGAGAAGTCCCGGAACACGTGGCCGTACTCTTAGATGGTTGAGGGGCGGTCCTAGAATCCGTTGCCGTAGTCTTATCCGGTTGAGAAGTCCCGGAACACGTGGCCGTACTCTTAGATGGTTGAGGGGCGGTCCTAGAATCCGTTGCCGTAGTCTTATCCGGTTGAGAAGTCCCGGAACACGTGGCCGTACTCTTAGCCGGTTGAGGGGCGGTCCTAGAATCCGTTGCCGTAGTCTTATCCGGTTGAGAAGTCCCGGAACACGTGGCCGTACTCTTAGATGGTTGAGGGGCGGTCCTAGAATCCGTTGCCGTAGTCTTATCCGGTTGAGAAGTCCCGGAACACGTGGCCGTACTCTTAGATGGTTGAGGGGCGGTCCTAGAATCCGTTGCCGTAGTCTTATCCGGTTGAGAAGTCCCGGAACACGTGGCCGTACTCTTAGATGGTTGAGGGGCGGTCCTAGAATCCGTTGCCGTAGTCTTATCCGGTTGAGAAGTCCCGGAACACGTGGCCGTACTCTTAGATGGTTGAGGGGCGGTCCTAGAATCCGTTGCCGTAGTCTTATCCGGTTGAGAAGTCCCGGAACACGTGGCCGTACTCTTAGATGGTTGAGGGGCGGTCCTAGAATCCGTTGCCGTAGTCTTATCCGGTTGAGAAGTCCCGGAACACGTGGCCGTACTCTTAGATGGTTGAGGGGCGGTCCTAGAATCCGTTGCCGTAGTCTTATCCGGTTGAGAAGTCCCGGAACACGTGGCCGTACTCTTAGATGGTTGAGGGGCGGTCCTAGAATCCGTTGCCGTAGTCTTATCCGGTTGAGAAGTCCCGGAACACGTGGCCGTACTCTTAGATGGTTGAGGGGCGGTCCTAGAATCCGTTGCCGTAGTCTTATCCGGTTGAGAAGTCCCGGAACACGTGGCCGTACTCTTAGATGGTTGAGGGGCGGTCCTAGAATCCGTTGCCGTAGTCTTATCCGGTTGAGAAGTCCCGGAACACGTGGCCGTACTCTTAGCCGGTTGAGGGGCGGTCCTAGAATCCGTTGCCGTAGTCTTATCCGGTTGAGAAGTCCCGGAACACGTGGCCGTACTCTTAGATGGTTGAGGGGCGGTCCTAGAATCCGTTGCCGTAGTCTTATCCGGTTGAGAAGTCCCGGAACACGTGGCCGTACTCTTAGCCGGTTGAGGGGCGGTCCTAGAATCCGTTGCCGTAGTCTTATCCGGTTGAGAAGTCCCGGAACACGTGGCCGTACTCTTAGATGGTTGAGGGGCGGTCCTAGAATCCGTTGCCGTAGTCTTATCCGGTTGAGAAGTCCCGGAACACGTGGCCGTACTCTTAGATGGTTGAGGGGCGGTCCTAGAATCCGTTGCCGTAGTCTTATCCGGTTGAGAAGTCCCGGAACACGTGGCCGTACTCTTAGATGGTTGAGGGGCGGTCCTAGAATCCGTTGCCGTAGTCTTATCCGGTTGAGAAGTCCCGGAACACGTGGCCGTACTCTTAGATGGTTGAGGGGCGGTCCTAGAATCCGTTGCCGTAGTCTTATCCGGTTGAGAAGTCCCGGAACACGTGGCCGTACTCTTAGATGGTTGAGGGGCGGTCCTAGAATCCGTTGCCGTAGTCTTATCCGGTTGAGAAGTCCCGGAACACGTGGCCGTACTCTTAGATGGTTGAGGGGCGGTCCTAGAATCCGTTGCCGTAGTCTTATCCGGTTGAGAAGTCCCGGAACACGTGGCCGTACTCTTAGATGGTTGAGGGGCGGTCCTAGAATCCGTTGCCGTAGTCTTATCCGGTTGAGAAGTCCCGGAACACGTGGCCGTACTCTTAGCCGGTTGAGGGGCGGTCCTAGAATCCGTTGCCGTAGTCTTATCCGGTTGAGAAGTCCCGGAACACGTGGCCGTACTCGTAGATGGTTGAGGGGCGGTCCTAGAATCCGTTGCCGTAGTCTTATCCGGTTGAGAAGTCCCGGAACACGTGGCCGTACTCTTAGCCGGTTGAGGGGCGGTCCCAGAATCCGTTGCCGTAGTCTTATCCGGTTGAGAAGTCTCGGAACACGTGGCCGTACTCTTAGATGGTTGAGGGGCAGGTGCGGAGGGCGATGTCACTGCCGACTGTTTTGGAAAAAAAAACATTATTATACTTACATTTTAATGTCTTGTTTGTGGCACATAACCGATAAGAGATTAGAGACAAATGATTAGGGATGGGGTTGGGGTGGGGGTGTGAATGGATTTGGGGTTAGGGGTAGGGGTTAGAATGGGAGTGGGGGTGGTATACTACTTTGGCAAATTAATCGAAAAAAACTGTTACAAAAACACATAGGTATTACATATTATATGTTAATAGCTTGCGTACTTTTCCGCAACACCACGTGATACATTTTTAATAAACAAACATATTCGTTCGCGAATCGTAAGGGAAGCATTTCATTTTATGATAATGGCCTAACAAATTATATTTTAAAACAAATTATTGATCACATAATAACTCTTTGGAACATATATTTAACTTATCAATTACTTCTGGAATTTTCCCACACGTGCTTAAGGAAACTACTATAATCCCAGTTCATAAACCGGAGAATAAAAATATCTGTACTAATTATCGTCCGATATCTCGGACGAATAGAAAAATTTATAAAAATAAGATTGTATGTGTTTCTGGAAAAATCGTTAATTTTTTTTTAAAGACAATTTGGTTTAAGAAATAATAAATGTGCTTTTAAAGCATTACAAAGTCGAATAAGTTCTATTTACAAAAAACTTGATGAGGGTGACGACTTACTACTTGGAATTTTTTAGATGTAAAAAAGGCCTTTGACTCAGTAGACCATAATTTGTTACTAAAAAAATTAGACACATATGGCATTCGTGGAGTAGCGAATAATCTTAACAAAACTTTTCTAACAAATGGCACACAGCGAGTTAAATTAAATAATACTCATAGCAATTTTTGTAGTCATATCAAATCTGTTAATTCTGTAAAATACCTTGGTGTGACTATTGATCGATATTTAAAATGGGATATTCACATTGGATCTACTATTAAAAAAGTTAGAATCATGTTCTATATTTTCAAACCTCTAAACAATATTTTATTGACCAACACCACGAGAATGATTTGTTGTGCAATTGCTTAGTCAGTTTTCTCTTATGGAATTGCTGCTTGGAGAGTAGCTTATGATGCGCATTTAAAAAACTTATAACAACGATAAATTCCTTACTCAGGATTGCTTTCAAAAAACCCTACTATACACATACAAATATTATATTCAATACCTACAATTTACTTCAAACTACTTCAAATTACTATCTAAAACAACTCCATGCAAATTATATTTTATGTAATTTGTATTACTCCAACCATAAAGATTTTAATTTTAACTATTAATTTTAACCTTACCATTTGACATGTACTATATTAAAATTGTTAAAAATGTTTTTAGAATTTTTAAATGTAATAGTGAATTTGGTAAAAGAAGTCCGTATTATATGGGTTTGAAACTCTGTAATTTTTTGTGTATTGATATAAATAGTTTCCATAGTTTTAACCCTTCACTGCACAATGTTCCAATGTCCATTTATTTAATATGATTATCGATAGTATCAATAGTTATGAAAAATTACACTGTAGATCTATCTATGGTGCCATTTTTCATACCACAGGGATACAGCTGATTGTTTTTCTAATACATGACCATGTCTAATACATATATACCCGGGAAACGCCGGGTCGGGACAGCTTGCATAATTTGCCACCCTCCATTAATTTCGAATTTTTAAGCGGCATTCGTTTTGAGAAAATCGCAACTTTCAGAGACAGAGACAACTTTTTAATAGATCAAAATTGTATAAAGCCGGTGTCAGATGCTGTTTAATTTGTACTTACCGAATACCATCGGTGGTAATACCACCCGCCTATTGCGCCGGCTCCAAACGCCGCCGCTCCTCCAGCCACCATCTTCCAGTTCACATATTTTAACATTGTACTGAAAAATTATAGAATTATACTGACGTCAAATATTAGATAATAATCAAAATCACAAAAAATGATTAATAAATAATCAATATTTACCTTAACGACAATTTGATGCCACAGTAACATCATACAAGTTTTTTCAGTCAGAAGTCAAAATTAAAGAGGATATCTTATGAAACTAAAAAAGAACCGTATACATTTAACTAGTTTTTCAAATTAAATATAATCCCATGTACGTCCAATTACGAAAATGAAAAAAGTTTATAGCACACATAAAATCTCTACAGACAAGATAGCTTACCATATGGGAATAAAACGACGAAGCTACGACTGTACTTGAATATTGGTTAAACACTATAGACGTAAAAATAAGTGAGAATTATGATTCAAAGGCTGGTTTCACAAAGACAAAATATCAACGACACAATATTACAACTAGAAAATTACCTAGAATCCTAGGTTCAACCTACCCCCCTTACACTTTATTTAGCTTAATACTTAAATTTTATAATACCGTTAGTTGTTTTAATTGTTATCACATATCAGTTATCAATATAAAAATTACAATTGTTTAAAAAGAGTAAAAATATACCTTAGAAATACTACGAAAGAGGTAAATTGTAATCATATACAATTTTTAACTGTATTTTAATCATCTAACTTATTTTAAACTGGATCGTCGAAATGGCTTAGTTCTTCTAAGCTATTATCGAGATGAATTTGCCAAAAAGCCAAGAAAAATACAAATTTTGTTATAAGTGAAATAAATTTAATGAGTTCTTTTTTCCAACCATGAACCCCCTCCCCATAAAAAATTTCTTTCTACGCCACTGAGACTCTCAAAAACTAACTTTGGGCTTAATTATCCACGCATACTGCTTAGATATTAACCAAGCATCATCAAAAGAAAATCACAAATTGGGACTTTTTATAACTATAGAGTAAATTGTCTGTTTTTAGATTACTTGCGCCACAAACATATTTTAGAGATCCGTATGGAAAAAATCGATGCTATACAAAAATCGTTTGATAACAATAAATCAATTTTATTGGAAATGCGCTTAATTTTGTTGAAAGATCTAAGCAAAATATTCCACAGAAGGCTGTGGAGACCACGACAAGAGATCATGTAAATCTCAACGGTATAATAAAATCCAAGTAAGTTGAAACGTTACTGAACAGTGTACATTGCAAATTAAATACAAATTATTGTTGTACAAAATTTGTGTACATATTTAAACATTTTTACAAATATTATGTTGTAAAAAAATACCTAGACTAAAGAATACGCTAACCAATTGCAAATGGCCGAAAACAACGACGCCATTGTATTGACCGTCATCTTATTTTTTTTTTGGCTTCAGAATTTTTTAGTCACTAGAAGAGAAAAATAATCAATTTGAAGAACTTGAGGTACTTTTTAATGTGGTAAAGTTACTTAAATCATTTTGTCATTCCCCCTGATGCTATCACTGAAAAATCTCAAAATATATAGGTACCTATGCTATGACAAATAAGAACTTTCAAATCACTGCTGAAATCGTGCAAAAATACCATAAACTTTCTTCGAAAATGAAAGTAAGTTTCTATTAGTATATGAACGCCACGACCTGTGTTCATTTTGAAAATGTAATATCCACACGTTACCTCTGTAGGAATTAATCGGAAAATGGCAACAATATATGCAAACGACCATTTGGAGTTTGAAGCTAGTTTAAGTGAAGTCGTAATTTGGTTGGGAACCATTCAAGTAATTACAGAAGCTAGTTTATATGTATTGCGCATTTATTTGTTACATACATTCATTCATGTGCTAAAATTATTGAATTTTCAAATTAAAGCTGACCTATGTTATAGTTATAAACCTAAAAGCTAAGCAGACGATTTAAACATATTATTTTTAACGTATCACTTAGAGTAGTACTCGTACTTGTCTAGATGAAAAAATCCGCTGTGAAAGAGTCGAAATGGATTTATTGGAAAATAAAAAAATGTCTGTTTTTATACTAATCAATAGTCATCATCATTATCATCATCATGTAGCTAAACGAGCCATGGAGGCCCAACGCTGCCATCATCGCCGGAGAGGGGGGTGGCAGTTCCTTTTCGCCGGACGATTGCTCGCCCAGCAAACTAATATACTAATTAAAAATATACTAATCAATAGTATAATTTTTAAATATAAAACCATTGTTAAACACTATAATATTATATAATGTACTCGTCGCATAAAGAACACAGTTTTCGAAATCGTTGGATCGCATACAGCAGATGATCCATTTAAGACACTCAATATAATTTAGTTTTAACTATTTGTTGCCGTTCAGGGGCGTAGCGTGCATGTAAGCACTGCTTACACTTTAAATCAAAGGAAAAAAGAAACTTGATCATTCAAGATTAATACATTATAAATGATTTTCAAAATTATATTTATATTTATTTAATATTTGAATTGGTTGTAAGCCATTTTCAATATTTATTGTGTTAAAAAAAGTAGAGTACATAATATGCCATTCAAGGTTCTAAACACTTTACACCCTACCTGGTCTTGCCAATCCGTGGTTTCAGCAAGATGGATCTACACAGTAAATATATTACTGCCATAATGTCATAATGGCAGCCGTTCGACGGCTCTTTGCGGTAATTCAAACATTCGGTCACCTAATTTGTCGGCGTGTGATTTTTTCTTGTAGGGCCATCTTAAAAGCAAAGTGTACACCATCTCACTGACATTATTTTCCGAACTTGAGATTTTAGAGTTTTGAACCTTTAATGGCATATATTATGTACTCTACGTTTTCCACGATAAATATTGTTTTCCCGTTTTTCTGGCCCACCCTGTACTTAAAACGTGTATTACACGGTTTGACGTGTGTGTGTGTGTGTGTGTGGTTAAATCAGAAACGGCAAACAATGATTTTCTGATGGAGGCCGCCATATTTTCATCGTTTATCCAAAAAATTGTATCCATACACAAGTCACAACTGGTGTATAGAAATAGCATTATGCTGATTGATAACCGTATTAGGTACACGCGCCGTCAAGAAATTTCAACCGAACAGGACTGTTTATTGGAGCTCGCCGGCTCAGCTTCAGGGCAGTCGAGGTACGGGGCAACTACAGAAACCACTCTGCCGAGAGTTAAAATACGAAGTCCTTAAGCGAATCCCAGAGGTGTTTTTTTTAAATTAATCTCTCCGGACACTCTAAACGGCTGTTTTGTAATGCAAACACACGCTAAATATATACTTATATTATGTACCTATGTACTTATTTCTGTTGTATCCGCTCTAAACCTGTCCGGACACTCGACCGGGGCAATGGAAGACGATAAAAAATTTAGATTTACTCGTTTGAATAAAAAACAAAACTACAAATCGTTTTTTAGTTCTCGGCGAATACAGTATCCACTCGACTTCAATGTTTTATTATATTTTGTATATCATGTTACATTTTATATTATAACATAGTAATATATCATTAGCATCGTAATCATAATAATAACGTACAATAATATTTTGTCAAGAGAGTTTTATTTTACACAACGATATCGTTAATTATATTTGTATAAAGCTTAAAGGATAGTCTTTAAATATAGTATAATAATTGTGAAGTCAAAGGGATTGGAACAGTTAAAATTATTAATTAATACTTAAGGCGTTAAATAGTTACAAAAAAAAAAAATCACAATAACTAAAAATTCAACAATTTTACGTATAAAAAAAAATAAAAATTATGTAGATACACAAATTAAAAAAAAAAAATTAATAATATGATTTCGGGCGAGTGATAACATTCAAAAAGGGGAAGAAATACAACAGTGCGTCCATGAAATAATCATAATATTCAAAAGCGGTTCACAACGTCGAATTACAAACGTATAATGTATTTATAGTTTATTCACATATGACTAGATAACATAACATTAGTACGACGCGTACACAATATTATTATTATAATAAAAAAAAATAATTAACATATAACGTCCCGCCGAATTATTATGGCCCGAATCAAATCGCTTGTAAACTGTTATTTATATATACATATATGTACTATATTACTAATATTTATATGGCCGTCAAACGTGTCACTCGTACGTTTGTAAATCTATAAAATAATAATATTATGTACCGGGCGATCGGTTGAACTATGGACCAGTCAATAACTTAAAAGATATTAGACTTTTTTTAAGTATTTTTTTTTTTATAATTTCATATTCATTAGTTGGGAGAAATTTAAATTATTTTTTTTTAAAATTATAACCCGTCCCTTATATGTAAAAAATCGTATAAACTTGAGTTTTTTTAATAGTAACGTATATATTTGATTAACTTTTTGAATTAAGAATAGTTTGCTAAATATTTTGACTGGTCGATAACCAGTTTTGGATAATTGGTTTTCAAGTTATTAAAGTTTAAAATTTAGGACGAGAGGAAGGGTGGAGAGTAGAGATGTTTTTATCTGTGCACATTGCACAACCACCCTTCCCCTCCCGTCATAACTTCTTAAAATTAAATAACTTGAAAATTAACTATCCAAGACTGGTTATCGACCGGTCAAAATTTTCAGAAAATTTTTCTTCATTTTAAAAGTTAATAAAATATGTACGTTATCATTTCAAATTCTTAAGTTCACACGGTTTTAACATGTAAGGGATGGGGTTATATTTTTTAAAAATATATTAAATTTGTCCCAACTAATAGCTATAAAATTATAAAAAAAAAATAACTAAAAAAAGTCTAATGTCTTATTGACTGGTCCATAGTTAACCAATCACCCGGTATGTGTATATTTATATTTATATAGTAAAATAATAATAATAAAAGGATAGATAGAAATAGTTATGTACATTTGGAAAAATTAGGACGCCTAATACATTATTTACAACGGTTTTGCATATTATCATGTATGTACAAAGTAAACATTTTTTTACAAAACATTATAATATATATTTATACATTCGAAAAAAAAAAAGGTATAGGGACAAAATGCGATACGATTTGTTTAGTTTAGGACTCGAACGTTGGCAAATAAACACTTATCATTCGACGACCGCCTCGGTTCTGACTAATGCCGGACGTGCATCACTTGTGCCGGCGAATGGTGTGGAGGTGGTAATGGGTCGTCGACGAGCAGTCGGTGATGGGACTTCCGACAGCGTCCTGTGAACAAAATTAAACAAAACAAAATATGTTTAAAATCGAGGTCACAATATTGTAGTAAAAAAACTATTTAACCGTTTTTTTTATGGAGTTTTTACGATCATTCGCAGCTATTCCGCTAGAACGAATATCGTAAAGCTAACTTGGAACGTATTTGACTTAGATAAGTTATGTATTATGATAAAAATCAAATTAATATACAAAGGTGAAACGACTGTAGGAACTACATGGCCTAATGACACGAACGGGCCATGGAAAAATTATTGTTTTATTTTTTCTTCTAAAAATTACTATTGCATTGAGGACAAATAGCCCAGTCCGCTGTCCTCTCCTGGTCCTAAGCTAGTCGGATTAGGTCGGCAGATTAACATACGAAAGTTGTAGAACGTTAACTATGAGCAGTAAAAACGCTGGTTCACAGTAAACTACACTTTTCCACGCCAAACAAACTCGAAGATGTTTTTAATTATTTTGAACATCCACCAGGAAAGGCTGTAGGCGTAGGTAAGATAACATTTAACTAGGTGCTCTCGAAGAATGCATAAATGATTAGGACTGTTTACGGAGCGTTTAAACGATATTTAATCAGTTCGCACACGTGGTGTCTTCAATAAGTTTTAATTCGATAGCCTCGCAGGGCTTTTGTTTGCACGCCGCTTTAACGACTTTTCGCACCCTTTTTCAACGACTTACGGCTAATTAAACTATACGAGAGCCTTTGCCGCCGCCGACATATTTATGTCAGACCATCTGCAGTTTTACTCCATATACCTACACCGTTTTAGATTCTCGTTAGACCAAAACCGTACAATATGATTTATTCGCGACTTCATTATAATATGCGATTAAGTTATAGCCGCGAATTTTTGGGCACGACTCAAACCCACCCTAGTGTGGACATTTCGAATACTTCCACATTCGACACTTGTCCATCATTTATTTTGATATTAATTTACTCACCTAAATATTTAGTGAAATCGTACGACGACTTGGGCGGGTAGTCCAAAAGGGGCGGACATTCGGGGTCGGCTTTCAGGGTGGCCGGGGACGGGGTTCTACAGGAAACTAGCGCCACGGCCATCAACAGGAACAAGGCGACTCCTAGACCAGCGGCGGTCATCATCTGCCATTCGGTGTGCCCCAAGACTGCTGGCGCTTCGGGCGCTGACAGTTCGGCCGTCACGTCCTCGCCGGTTATCTCGTCAGACCACGAATCGCTTCCGTTGTCGAAGGTCTTCGCCATCGCCGCTTCGGGGGTCGTCGTTTCCGTTACCGGCACCGGCACAGCTGCGGTGGTCGAATGCACCGCACTCCTCGTGTCCAACAGCAGCGTAGGGCTGCTGGACATTTTAACCGAATCGTCGGCTCCTCCCAAAAGCGACACCTGCAAAACCAAAAAAAAATACAACCCACATTAGTATGTTATGCGAACAATACACTAAGATGGCGTCCGCCCAAAGTAACACCAGCGAAACTAGTTACAGACAGACAGCGCGCATATAAACTTTGTCAATGAAACTGTTCTTTCCGACTATATTTTTTTTTTTTTTTTATCAAAAATATAGTATTAAACTTTAAAAAAAACCATTCCCGAAGAAATGAACTATTACGCTCTTTTTTCCACGTATATTCTTCACAAAAGATACTATGGGAAAAACAGTTCAGCCGGGTAACTTTGTGAGATAATTTACCACATTCATATTATAATACAATAACGTTGATCTAGACACTAACCGTTGACGACAATAAACAATTCTCGTTTACCTAGTATATTGTAAGTTATTGCGTTAAGACAACGGACAGCTGTGCAAAGTCACCGAGTTTTAAAATCATTGTGCGAGTTATATTTTCACACGGCCGAACCTAACCTTAACGGGTTTCAAGCCGAATAAAAACGGACAGTCACGTATTTTAGTTTACCGAATACTAATAATGCGCGACGCTTTCCCAGTGATGACCATATTTTACACCCAAAGTAAAGTGTGTATCTGTGTGTGCGTGTGTCCGCTATATTATTTATAATAGAAATGTATAATTAAAACATAGTCGGCCGACCGATCGAATTAACACGGACAGCAGCAACGAAATGAGGAAATTTATTTTATTTTTTTTCAATCCACATTGGCTGTACAAGAACATTTTGCCGTTCCGTTATCAATAATTGAAAAACATCATTTACACAGACATAAACCGTACTCGATAGCTATAGGTATGCTGATACAAATATTATGTTGGACGGGAGGTCATTTTACTGCAACGGTGTCACCTGAGCTTTTTATAATTAATATCGCAGCACAAATCTCTTATTCGATCCTGCCAAGCGCTGTAAATAATAACAAAGAACATACTCTGAGCCGAAACGCACACAAAAAAGCTCATATTGTTCAATACTTAAGTCATTACATGAAAACGCCGAGTCAATTTAGAAACCGAGTGTAACAACCTCGTCGCCTGACCTACATTATATGCGTTTTTGTTAGGGTATGCTCAAAGGAAATTCACATAATGTTTTCCTGTTCGCTCAAGTAAATTTTCTTTTAAAGTACAAGAACGTTTGATGTAAAAAAAAAAAAGAAAACTTACGTGGAAAAGAACACGGGACTTCATATTTTTTTTTATACAGTGACCCAACCCAGTCATAATAATTATATTCAACTCGACGAATGGATTTTAATATACCGCAATATAATATATCCGGTGTCTGGGTATACACAGAACTCGTTATAAAATACATTGCTTTTCCGTTATCATCGCGGACAAGTCTTTCAATATACTCGAACAATATAACTGTGAGCCACCGAGCTAGCTTCTATTTGAAAATATTCAATTACTTAGACTTTTAAAAGTCTTGGAGATACTACAATTAGTGTAAAGTACGAATGAGCAGTATCGAATTTTCTTTGAAAACAAGTCGGCACTATCAGCGGCGGATTCAAACTGGTTCACTTTTTTCCAAGCAGGAACACTAATTATAACTATTTTTCACTTCGTTCGTATGTCACTCTTTATTTTGTTATGAGCTTTTTTTGTTTCTTCTTTTAAGGCCATAAATAATAAGTATGTAGTTATTTGCTTAGTTTCGTACATACTAATTATATGCTTAGAAAAATTCGGAATTACTTGTACGCGGAAGGTTTTAATAATTTAATATTAGTAATACTAATCTAACAGGAAAACTGTTTTTATTTTTTTGTCGATGATTTAAATAGAATTATATACTTAATGTTTTTTTTTTTTAGCAACAGATTAAAATATAAACAACGTTACAATTTCAAAAGGGACAATTTTGTTAAGTCGATTCCACGCTAAATAAAACAAGTTGGTAGCAGTACATTTATTAATGTGTTTAAGCTTTTATAACTGACAAGAAGAGTTATGTCTGTAATTTTTAAAACGCGTGTACTTGATTTTAAAAATTAATTTTCACTAATTATGCTCTGGTATATTATGTATGTACATTTTACATATTTTATTTGATTACAATTTTTGCTCTCGTGGTATAATTGATTTTGGTGACTTGGCCCCGTTTTTTCCACGCTATTAGAACAATTCAACGTCACATCATTATGTGCGTTATTATACAAATGTATGCACCAGACGGCGATGCGAGCTGCAAAAGGCAAATAGCGCATTCAGAGCTTTTAGAATTAATTATAGTAGGTATGATAGTTTTTTAAAAGCGTTTATTAAATTACACGCAACCACGTTACGTGTGAAGAGTTTTACACGCGTTGTTAATAACAATAATTATTAGGACTATATTTAAGAATGGCATTTTAAATGCAAAGCAAATAAACTCGAAATTACTGGATGTATTATCAAAAGCAACAATCGGCGTTGAAGACTTTGACCTATATTGTATGTATCTGTGTGTAAAGCTTTAATTTTAATTACTATACATTGCGCCGGGCGGAAGAAATAAAACTGATAAAAAATAAAATGTAAAACAAGTTTAAAAGCTTTAGTTGCGCATAGTTATGATTAAAGTGAAAACAAAAAAACAATGTCTGCGCGCAGTAAACGGTATATTTCGCGACGAGAAATTGAAAAAGTTTTCGGTCTCGGTCAAAGTTCTACTTTTAATACTTCTTAATAGTATTTATAACGGGACCGCCGCGGCAGTTGTCAAAAGAACGAGGAATTTCCAATTTTACGAGCCATTTAACGTTCTCCTCTTTTTGTATTATTATTTTTTATTTTTATTTTACAGTCGTGCCGTTAGAAATCCGCTAATACGTCACCCCCACAGCCCAGAGTTAATAACAAAAGAGAGAAAAATGACGGCACCGTGGTTTTCTATACGAGCCCCAGCAAAGCCGGTGGAACGACATCAGCCGAGTGGAAAAATAATAGTATAAGTAGATATATATATATATATATATATAATGGTGTTTTGGTGGAAGAGTAGGCGAGCGGCCGATGCGGGTTATATTTAAGGGAGGCGAACACGATAAACGATAGAAAATCCAGACGAATCAGGAAACACACTTAAGCCCGGTCCGATTTTGGACCCGGCGGCCAATCGATAAAACCGGATTTCGGGACTTTTTTTATAAAAAAAAATAAAAAGGTCCAATATTGCTTTAGCGTGTATACCCTCCTATAAAGCCAGACGGTCAGCTAGGTGGACAAATATATATATAGGAATAAAATAATATGTGACAGGACGGATAAACGAAATACCTGCTTCACTAAAACCGTACAAGGGTAGCCGTATTTTTTTTTAACAAAACATATTGAACTTATTTTCAATAATTTGTTGTCCGGCAGTACGAGATTAGAATAATATTATAATTATAGGTAGGTACGCGGTGGTCTAAGTTAGGTTAGGTACCGAATAATTAATATAGAGTGCTCGCAGCTTGCTGAGGATTCGTCGGTCGAATAATATATTATATTGGTTTCGCAGGTGTATATGTATAATAATATACAAAGGAGCTAGTCTCATGACGACCGAGTCTATGCGGGCCAACTGGAGAAAACCTAATAGTATCTAAGAAATTGAAGGAAAGGGGGGAAATAAGACCGAACCACAGGCACCATTGCGGTCGCGGTGGCCATATTATTATATCCCATAGACGCCTGGCTGGGTACGACGATGGGCGTTACCGGATGTAATTGCACACGGACACTGTATAAGTATTATATTATGTAGAGTGGTGTCTTCGTCGCGATTGTGTATTCACTACATAGGATAATAATAATTACCGTACACCCCAAAATTAACGTCGAAACTGTGAAATATAGCGTATAGTCAGCGCAGTGTCGTAGACGGGCGCGAAACCGTCGTAAATTTCGATTTTCAATTTTTTCTCCGTCTCTCTCAAAGACAATAATTACCATGATCGGACACTCGAGATGCGCCTCCGTCGAACATCGCCTGTGTGTGTGTGTGTTGTGTAGCCGTTGTAAAATATATATATATATATGTATACTATAAAACGTCATTATGCGAGCGGTGTTAAGTTATAATACGAATAATAGGTAATAATTATTATAATTACACCCGTGGCCTGCATGATTACTATACACTGTACATACTGGACAGGGTAAACGAGCGGCTTACGCAGCAGCTAACCGCGGACGTCGACCGGAGAGAGCTCAGGGTACACGAAATTGATAGTTGCATATAAAATAATATATGTAGGTATTCGGGACGTCATTCCCAGGCTCGGCAGCGGTTGGCGAAGGCCCAAAAAGTTTTCGCCGGGAAAACCGCAGTATTCCGTCTATATACCTACTATACTTGCCGACAACAACTTCGAGAGAGAGAGAGAGAGACAATATATTATAATAATGCGATAATTAAACAAAAATAGTTTCGGTCGCAGTCTCGTATATATATATATAGGTATGAACCCAAGTCGGATACAACATTCCGTCATGTCGCGCACAAGGCATATACACCGCGTCCGGTCGACTTCCGTCTTTTCACATCAATTAAAAATAAAAATAAAAATCGAAAAACCACATAATAATACTGTACCGAAGGTGCGGCGTTCGAAATTCATCGAGACGAGTCGTGCAAGACGGACAATATAAGTATACAGTATTATTACAATATACTTGTGAGTAGCGGCCGTTTATATGAGTCACTAAAAATCCCTTTCCCACGGCGGCAGAATTCCAAATACAAAACTCGACTACCGAGTTTAACGACAGGTTAAAAATAAAACCAGATAGTGCACAATAGATTTTCAAATAACGATTTTTGATTGGCTCACGCAGTAGGGCCATAATTATAGTGCCGAAAATATCGTACACGTTATTTACATGATAAGATTTAGCAGATAACAATACAGACGCTTGATACGATTTCTTTGACCAAGCTGTATAACAGAATGATTATTTTTTGTTCACCCCTAGATTATTAAAGTCGTTTAT